CGACGGGTCAACATGCATGGTTAACCGGGTCAAGTATTTTTTAACACCCCTAGACATCATGGTGTGTCTAAGGGCTCTTTATCTCGGATCTCACACACCTCTCTAGCCTTCCTATATACCCTTGGGTATCTGGGGTGAGATCCATAATTGCATAAAAAAATGTACATCCTACCAATTTACTCCGTTGAGTCTTGGGGCATCTGCACCCAGCTGGCAACTAAAATGCCTTGGCAGTGACTAAGATATCGTGCTATCACTATTTGCTAAGTAACTCGGGTGTCTTGATTGTGTCCCAATCATCAAATAAAACTAGTTTTATGTCATCGTAACTGTTTGTTTCTAGTTGTTCTAAGTTTACTAATGTTCTCACTTGCAGTTTTATTTCATGGTTTTCTGATATTATTGGGTCCCTCAAATCTATCCCTTAAAAACTCTTGGGTTTCTTACCCAAAACTGCTCGTGGGTACCAATACTAAGCCCTTCAGTATCAATATTGGCCTCTAGGTATCGATACTAACCTCTGGGTATCAATAATATTGACTTATTAAAGGCTGATAGAAAAAGGGTGGGTATCGTTACTCTAGTTTGAGTATCAATACTCTTGGTCTAAGGTATCGATATTAAATTTATCTTCGATGATTTGAAAAATTCTAAGTATCAATATCCCTGTTGGGGAGTATCGATACTCTAATCTTGGAATCGATACCAAAAATGACTTCTAAAATGTATTGAGTGAACTTTGATCGATACCACCTTACGAGTATTGATACCTCACCTACAGTATCGGTAGACAAAACAGGGCAACTATTTCCGACTGTTGGAAGGCCACCGGAATAGAGTTCAGCAAAAATGAATGGTATTTCTTCACCCCCACGAGATCGAAAGTATCTAAACGGAGTTCATCTGAACAGGGCATCTATTTCCGGCTATTGGAAGGCCACCGGAACTGATAAAGCTATTCACAGTGAATATAAATACGCCGGAGTGAAGAAGCTCTCGTCTTCTACAATGGCAGACCACGAATCGAATGCACAAATCAACGATGATAGCAATTGTTGAAATTCCCTAAAACATGCTCGCTTTCTTAGTTACCGGAAATGGATTACATGGGTCCAATTTCCCATCTTCTGACCAAAAATACTTACGGTTCAATCTTTGATTTTACTAACCCTATTGCTAATACCGGGATTGAAGAAGATGATAAGCTTCAGATTGGAGAATCACCTTATAATTATTACAATACTGATTCTGGGAAATTTCAAGTGAACCATTTTGGGTTTGGGGAATAAACATACGGAGAAAATCATTTGGAAAAAAAAAGGGGAATTTGATATTTATTCCTGAATTATTTTGGATTTACAAATATACCCATGATTAGTAATTTATCACTGAAACAAAAGTGATCATTTGTGTAGTTTATCCTCAAATGGGTTAACTGTAGCCTTAGTCCCTAAAGTCTCTAAAGTTTTCGTAATTAAAAATAGTTAAGTGATAAATGATGTAATTTATCCAATTTATAATAGCAGGAATTAACAGAACCGTTGGTCAATGACAGAAAAAATTGGTCAAAGAGCCAGATTGGGTTATTTTTTTCGAGTTGGAGGGCCACATTGATCCAAAAAATAAGACGAGCTACATTGGGGTTTTTTGAAAAGTTCAGGGACCTCACGTGCCTTTTTACCAATAAATAATAAAATTTTAGGAATTTATTCCCATCATTGTGTTTAATAAATATTTTAACATAATCCATTAATTCTCAAACGTGAAAGACTCACAGTTTGTTAATCAAAACGGTCAATGAACTTCAAGGACTATGATGAATATCCTAAATAACTTCGAGTACTAAACTAAGGCGGAAAAATTATAGGGATGTAAATACATATTAAATCTACTAAAAGGATAAAAATAACCCTTAAACCTATTTACTTTTATATTCATTACTAACGTTATATTTTACAACAATGTATTTCATGGCAATAATATTTTTACTAGCAAAAGCATCGAAAATTTACTAGCAACGACACAATAATATCTTCTAAGAGCGTATCAAGAATAAATCACGAGCTTTCCAAATCCCAAAATTCATCCTTCAACAACTTCAATCTCATTTAAATAAGACAGGCGTAATGTCATGACTTTACTAGTAATGTCGTCATTGGTTTTATTTTGGATTGTATATAAAGACATAAATATTAGTGGAAATAGATTTTGTCTCTATACCAAGTATTTTAGATCAATCTTTCAATGGTACAAAACCTTCTGACCAGTCATGCCAAAAGCTAGTATTCAGATCATTCACAACTTTTTATTCACAATAGGCTTAATATAAAAATAAGGGTAAAGTACAGTAATGGTCACTGAACATTTCTGAAGCTTGTATTTTGGTCCCCCAACTTTTAAAACTTGCAATACAGTCCCCCAATATTTATTCCATTTGCAATATGGTCCCATCGTTAAACCACCATTTGAAATTAGGTAAATTATATAAATGATCACTTAACTTTTTAGGTACTTGAATTTAGGTCTCTCAACTTTTAAAACTTACAAAACAGTCCTCAATTTTATTCTAAACCCAAATTCTAAAGTAATTCAATTTCATTCTAAACCCTAAATTCCAAAATAATTCAATTAAATTCTAAACTCAAAATTCTAAAATACTTCAATTTAAGGTTTAGAATGTAATCGAGTTATTTTAGAATTTGGGGTTTAAAATGAAATTGAGTTGTTACTTCAAGTAAATCTGTAAAAAAAAAGTGTACCATATTTGTCACCCTGCAAAGATTAATAGATTTTAGCCAGTTATCTCATAAACTGCCCTATCAAATATTATATCATAATTGCTTACCAAACATTATTATTGATAATTTTATGTTTAGTTAAGGAGCTCCTGCATGCTTGTATTGATTAGAAAATAATGAGTCCACTCAGTCCTCCAATAGAGTGGCATTGAAGATTCTTCCGTACAAACAAAATATATTATAGTTGTCAGTCCTGTACTGATTATGTGACTCCAAAGCCATAATGAAGAAGCTACAGCAAATGAAATTAACTATCACACCTGGATTGGTGTCCGACCGGTTCAGATAAGACCCAGTTCTTAGCCATGAATCCTTATTAGTAAATGCTAAAGTTTTAAATTGAATTACTTGAATTAACACCTCAATTTCATTTTAAACCTCAAATTCTGAAATAATTCAATTACATTCTAAACCTTAAGTTGAAGTATTTTAGAATTTTGGGTTTAGAATGTAATTGAATTATTTTGGAATTTAGGGTTTAGAATAAAATTGAATTACTTTGGAATTTGGGGTTTAGAATAAAATTGAGGACTATTTTGTAAGTTTTAAAAGTTGAGAGACTTAAATTCAAGTACCTAAAAAGTTCAATGACCATTTATATAATTTACCCTAATTTTCAAATGGTGGTTTAACGACGGGGATCATATTGCAAATGGAATAAATGTTGGGGGACTGTATTACAAGTTTTAAAAGTTGGGGACCTAAATGCAAGCTTAAAAAATGTTCAGTGATCATTACTATACTTTACCTAAAAATAAGTGTCAAAATTGTACTTAAAATTAACTTGTTGTCTAATTTTTTTTGTTAAAAATAATTGTCTAATGTTTTCTCTGTTGCACTTTTAGTTGTCTACCGTTAAAAAAAGTTAAGTGATACGTGTCATGTTCATATATTTAAAAAAAAAACATTTTTTTAAATAATATTTTATTTTAAAAAATAAAAAAAATAAAAACTTACCGCATGTCACTTAAATATTTTTTTAATGGTAGGTAGTTAAAAGTGTAACCGAGAAAACATTAAGCACCTATTTTAACAAAAAAAAATCTTTAGACTCTAAAAAATCAATTTTAAATATAATTTAAACACTTATTTCGATTTTAATAGACCTCATCAAGTAGAAGACACGTTATCTTTTTCCTCTACATTCAAAAAGATTCGTTGTCTCAAATACTTTGAAAAACTTGATACCACAAGACATCATGTTGTGTATTAAGTCTCCAGCTAGCTTTGGCCAACATCACCACATTGAGGACTTATTCTATCCATAAACTTGGAGCAACAGACTTGGTTTCAACTAACAAGGTTCTTATATGTTGAGAAAGGTAACATAGTTGTTTGAATCATGTGCACTGGGATAGCAACGGTATAAGAGTATATTATAATTGAAACAAATGAATGGAAGAGGTGTGAAAGTATAAGTTGACATTTAGCTCACTTGGATAAATATCCTCATTCTAGGAATAAGTTTAGAATTAAGATATACTATTGGGAAAATTTCTCAACTATTTAATAATGAATATTCAAATAATTGTTAAAGTCATTTGGCTCGTCCTTCTTAGGAATATTGATTATTTGGGGATTTAAATCATTGTTCGTTATTGGAATAAATGTTGTCATATAGTGGCAAAATTTTTCTCTAAAACCGCTATTTCATAATCGTGATATCTACAAATATTGTAATAACATTTACTATTGCCGTAATAGGATAAACACAATGTAACAAAAAATATGATCCTAATGGAAATTTAAATTCTTGGTTGTACTGTCCTTAGACGTAGAGGTTTGGGAGAAAGGTTATATCAAGCTTGGTGTTTAGGGATGAGGAAGGTGGTTCCTGAACATGACAGAATAGAAGCAGTGGAATTGTTGGGCAACACTCTGCTATTGTGCGTTGGATCCGGAGCAATGGGACGTGAGGATTCTACTTGTGTAGCGAGAGGGAAATGGAATGATTTGTGTAGCATTTGGACATCCTATTGGTCTTTTATGGTTTATTCAAAAACTCGAGCTGAGGTTGTATGATGATGTATGTGATGTTACTTGAGCTAGACAGGTGGAGCCAAAGCAGACGTGAAAATGGAATCCGAACATCCACATTGTAGCGCTTGGCGCATTGGCCGTCCGAATCATTTTTATTCATTTATTATATCGAATATTGACCCATTCGATATAGAAAACATCTGATATAAGTATTTCTGCAATAATAATAAATGGTGAAATCATCAATTTCTGAAATGAAGCGATACCGGAATGGTGAAATCTGGGATTTCGAGCACGAGGTGGCGGTGGCCGCCAACCGCCCTGTTATTTTAGGACTGGACGGTGGAACCACTTCCACTGTCTGCATTTGTATGCCAATTATGCCTTTCTCCGAAGCCCTTCCCGACCCTCTTCCCGTTCTCGCTCGTGCCGTTGCCGGCTGCTCCAATCATAACAGCGTTGGCGGTATTTCCTTCATTTTCTCTCCCTCTTTTTAACGGTTGTTTTCTAAGCTTAGGGTTTTAATTCTTCATTTTTTTTGTCTCGGAAATTTAAAAGCAAATAATGCAGGGTTCTCCTTTTTTGCAACACTTATTTTGATTATTTGATATATTGTATCTGTATATTCATCCTCAACGAAATGTGCTAGGAACTTCTAAAGAACTGAAGAATCAAAAAGCAAATAGCGAAAGGGGGGATTAGATAGAGCATGAATTGGATTATGATATTTGATTGTAATTACCCCATTTATCTATGAGATATGTGGGATGAGATCAAAGCAGCACTTCACTATATTTGGCGGCCACAAAACGGACATGCAGTTAGTTGATGCCAATGCTTTGGTTGTCATTTTTTTTTACAGAAACTGCTGCCCGGGAAACATTAGAGCAAGTTATGGCTGATGCTCTTTCAAAATCTGGTTCTAATAGATCTGCTGTTCGAGCTGTTTGTTTAGCGGTATCTGGTGTTAACCATCCTACAGACCAGCAAAGAATATTAACCTGGCTTAGGTTTGTTCTCTATTTGAACATCATGCAGTTTGAATATAGCAGAAGATTTTGAGATTGGCATTTTTATGAAGCTCAATATAATTAAAAAGATGCCAGAATTAATGTGAAAACTGTCATGTGATCATGTCTAACTTGGAACATGTAAAAAGAACTGTCTTTTTTATTCTGGGGAAAGACAATATGCATTTAAATTGAAGTGGAAATTCTGATTAAATCAATAGAAATTTCCGGAAAATTCATGTGATTCATTTTTATGTTCAATATCTTAGATGTTTGTTGAAATGAAGCTTCACGCTTAATGAGTTATGATTACTTTATGTGTGAACATTTCGTAAATGCTTCATCTGTATGATGTCCACCCAAAATATTCAAATGTTGGTATGATAATCATATAACCCTTTTGCTTCTCTTTTTATCTGAAGTTTGTTCTACATCTGAATATGTAAATAACACTGTTATGAATTCACGATTTGATGACTTGTTTAGAGACATATTCCCCAGCCAAGTAAAGCTCTATGTACGAAATGATGCTGTGGCAGCTTTGGCTTGTGGGACAATGGGTAAGCTCCATGGTTGTGTATTAATTGCTGGTACTGGAACCATTGCCTATGGGTTCACAGAAGATGGCAGAGAAGCTAGAGCGGCTGGTGCGGGACCTGTCCTAGGTGATTGGGGAAGGTACAATATCGTGACTTCCTTAAAAAAAGTAAAAAATTAGCCTCATTTTTTTGTTGTTTAGTTTCCTCTACTATTCAATTCAAGACATTTGGGGTTCTACATTATGAGATTGTTAGATTTTTCTTTTTATTTACTTCTTTAAAAGTTTTTTAATGATGTTTGGTTGACACAGAGCTTAATGGTTAAGGTCTTTTGGGGAACTTAAATTTGTTGCTTAAAGTTTTGAGTCTAAAATTAATTTATTTTCTCTGTATTCAGGAGTTGAATACAAAATTTCAAACAAGTTCAAGTTCATTATTTATATCATTATATGGCTTACAATTTGGATTTGAATTGGAACTGTCACATTAACTTTACTGAAATCGATTTTATGATTCTAAATCTTTTAGCAAAAGGAAACTCGCTCCTATAAAAAATATTATTCTCTTTCATTTCCTATAAAAACTGAGTTTTAGAGAAACTAAACTGACTTTAGAATTTTATTCTCTTTCTCTACTTTTACAAAGTGACGACTATTCTTACTTATAGGACTCTGCAACAGATAACTCTAACAGATTATTTCAAATTTAAAATTTAAAAAAACTAAAACTAACAGCATACTATTTAAGGATCTTTAACCGATAGAATCTATAACTACCACTCCCCTCAAGCTGGGGAGTATAGATTGTAGAGCCCCAGCTTGGATGTAAGCTCATTAAAGGTGGTTCTTGGAAGTGTCTTGGTGAGTATATCAGCTACCAGTTGGTGAGTAGAAACGTAGTTAAGTTTAACAGTTCCATTTGTAACCTTCTTTGAAATGAAATGACAATCTATCTCCACATGCTTCGTCCTATCATGATGCATCAGATTCTTTGATGTACTGATTGTTGATTGATTATCACAATTTAGGTCAAAACTGGCGCCATGATTCAACCCCAATTCTGCTAACAATCGTTGTATCCAAATTCCTTCACAAAGCCCTTGTGCCAAGGCTCGAAACTCAGCTTCTGCACTGCTCCTTGAGATCACATTTTGTTTTTTACCCCTCCATGTCACTAAATTGCCCCGAACACGAGCACAATTTCCCAGTTGTTGACCTCTTGGATGTAAGTTCACCAACCTAGCTTGCATCTGTGAAGACTAGGATTTAAATAGCGTTCGCGGTCACCTTTTAGGTGTAGAAAACAGACTGTGTAGAAAACAGACATGTCTGTTATTTTTATTCTTATGTACATTCAGTAGAACATATTACATATTTATATACAAATTATGCCTCTAAACTAGGAAACTCTAAGAAAGGAAACTAATCCTAGGAGATGTAATCCCTTGAAATAAGGGATTGAAAAACAGAAAATAATTATAGAATCTCTTAACTTAAGAGATTGACAACTCATTTCTATAATTCCTACACTCCCCCTCAATCTGGTGTATATATGTTGTATATACCCAGTTTGAATGACATCTCATCAAAAGTCACTCGTAGAAGGGCTTTGGTGAAGATATCTGCCAGCTGTTTCTTCGTCGGAATGTACTGCAGTTTTGCAACTCCATTGTTGACCTTCTCGTAAATAAAATGTCTGTCTATCTCAATGTGTTTCGTTCTATCATGTTGCACTGGGTTTTTTGCTATACTCATAGCTGATTGACTGTCACTAAAAATCTCAAAATTCTTTTTGTCATCTAAGTCCAGTTCTGTGAGCAGTCTTTTAATCCACATTCCTTCACATATTCCGAGAGCCATTGCTCTAAGCTCTGACTCAGCACTACTTCGAGAGACAACAGCTTGTTTCTTACTTCTCCAAGTCACCAAATTACCCCAAACGTAGGTACAGTAGCCACTAACTGACCTTTTATCAGTTAATTCACCTCCCCAGCTTGCATCCGTATAAACCTTCACTGTTCTGTCTTGATTTTTTCTAAATATAAGTCCAGCTCCTGGGGTAAATTTCAAGAACCTTAAAATTCTGTTAACAGCTTCCAAATGTTCTTCTCGAGGATCACTCATATGTTGGCTGACAATGCTCACTGAATATGCAATATCAGGCCTGGTCAGTGAAAGGTAGATTAACTTCCCAACTAACCTTTGGTAGGTTTCCTTGTTTACTGGATTTCCAGTCCTTTCCTTGCAAAATTTCAAGCCTGGCTCCATTGGAGTTTCAACTGGTTTGCAGTCGAGCATCCCAGTTTCTGCAAGAAGATCCAAAACATACTTACGTTGGTTTATGACCAGCCCTTCCTCGAACCTTGCAACTTCCATACCCAGGAAATACCTCATACTCCCTAAATCCTTGGTTTCAAACTCCTTTGCAAGATTCATCTTTAGCTTTTCTATTTCTTCTATATCACTGCCAGTTATAATCATATCATCTACATAGATAATTAGGAGGGTTATCTTATCACTCGGTGTAATTTTTCTGAATAATGTGTTATTCGTTTGGCTTTGTTTGAAACCATTCTGTGTCATAGCCTTAGCAAATTGATCAAACCAAGCCCTGGGAGACTGTTTTAAGCCATATAAGGATTTATTGAGCTTGCACACAGTTTTCTTAGTGACCTTTCCTTCTAATCCGGGGGGGACCTCCATGTATACCTCTTCTTCAAGGTTCCCATTCAGAAAAGCATTCTTTATGTCCAGTTGATGCAATTTTCAGTCCATGTTAACAACTACTGATAACAATATTCTGATGGTATTCAATTTTGCAACCGGTGCAAAAGTCTCCTGGTAGTCGATGCCATAGGACTGAGAAAAACCTTTAGCAACCAGCCTTGCCTTGTATCTTTCCACACTCCCATCCGAATGATATTTGACTGTGAATATCCACCTGCATCCAACAACTCTCTTCCCTTTTGGCAAATATGTCAAACTTCATGTCTTATTCTTTTGCAATGCTTTTATCTCTTCTTCCACAACCTTTTTCCACTCAGGAGATTGAAATGCTTCTGTCACATTTCTTGGGATTTTCACAGTGTTAATGCTGGCAGTGAAGGCCCTGAAATTAGACTGTAATTTCCCATATGCAACATACTTATTTATGGGATGAGCAGTGCATTTTCTTACCCCCTTCCTAATAGCAATAGGAAAGTCATCAAGATCAATAGTAGTAGCCTCTTGGTAACCATCATTACCTTCTGTTTCAGCTGCAACAGAATCCGAATCTGGTTCTTGGCAAATGCTAGGTTGACTGATTTCTTAAGCAACATCTTTCATTCTTCTTGAGTAAACACTGAGTTGTTTCGGTTGGGGAGTTATGGTTTCAGGGTCATTGTTAGGTGCATTTTTGGTAGTGGTGGAAGGTGTTTTGCACGGACTAGAGTGCTGAGATAAGGAGGAAGGTAATTCATCAGAGTTATTTAGGTTATTCTCATCACCCTCCCTAGGAACTGGGACAGTGCTAGCCGGCTTTGGAGAGACAGTAATAGGTAAGGAAAGGATAGGCTGTAAAGAAATATCGGTTTGAACATGTTGAAATTCCTTGTAACTAATAGGCTGTAAAGAAATATCGGTTTGAACAGGCTAAAATTCCTTGTAACTCTCCCCCTGAATTTCTGTTCCTGAAAAATAAGGTTGGTTTTCAAAAAATGTAACATCAAAGGAGACATAGGTCTTTTTTGTGGAAGGTGAGTAACACTTGTAACCCTTCTGACTCGAAGAATAGCCCAAGAACACACACTTTATGGACCTAGGATCTAATTTCCCTCTGTTGTGGATATGAACAAAGGCTGTACACCCAAACACCCGAGAAGAAAGACTTGAGTTTAAATGTTTAAAATGGGGATACAGCTGAAACAGAACCTTAGTAGGAATTTTGAAATCTAAGGTCTTACTTGGCATTCTATTGATGAGGTAAGTGGCTGTAAGAAGAGCTTCCCCCTAAGATACTTAGGAGCATTAGCAGCAAACATAAGAGACCTAGTAACCTCTAGAAGATGTCTATTTTTCCTTTATGCTATCCTGTTTTGTTGAGGTGTGTTGACACAAGAAGTAAGGTGAACAATGCCTTTTTCCTTAAAGAAATACCCAAGGGTTTTATTCAAATACACTCTCATTGTCACTCCTTAGAATTTTGATTTTTGTGTCAAATTGGGTTTCAACTTTTTGATAAAAACTTTTAAAGAGAGACTCAACTTCAGATTTTTCTCTCATTAAGAAAACCCATGTTGTCCTAGAGTAATCATCTATAAAAGACACAAACCACTTATACCCAGAAATACTTTTGACAGGAGAAAGCCCCAAATGTCACTATGGATGATGGAAAAAGGTGTTGTTGGTTCAAATTTGGCTGGAATATATGGTTTTCTGGTGTGTTTGGCCATTTGACAAATTTCACAGGAAAACAAAGATGGATCTTTATTAATGAATAAGTTCGGTAACATTTTGGAAAGATAGAAAAAATTAGGATGGCCTAATCTAGAGTGCCATAACATAATTTTATTGGTATTGAGATTAGAAGATAAAATTGGTTTCCTAAGAACACTGGATAAGGCATGATTATGAGATGCTTTACCTCCAAGGGTGTACAATCCCTTGCCCAGCCTAGCATTTCCAATCACCCTCTTCGAGCCCTGTGCCTGAAAAATGCAACCACCAGTACCAAACACAACATTACAACCAAAATCTTTAATTAATTTGATGTCTGACAACAGATTGCATGCAAGTCTAGGAACATAGAGGACATTATGAAGTAGTAGATTTTTGTTTAATGTAACAGAACCACTCCCTTTGACTGTAGTGAGAGAGCCATCTGCTATTTTGATAGAAGTTGGTAAGCTGCTTTCACTATATTCCTTCAAGAGATCAATATTTCCTGTCATATGATCTGATGCACCCGAGTCTATTATCCATTGTACCGAGGAAGTATATGGATTATTTCCATCAGTAGTAGTATAAGTCACATTTGTAGGCTTGGCTGTCATATTGCTCAAAATCTGCTGCAGTTCCTCTATCTGTTTCTTGTTAAAACTGCTTGAGGAATCATCTTGAGAGGCAACATGAGGCTCCTTTTGAAACCTGGACCGTGTGG